TCACGGATCAATAATGGGTTGACCCGTTGAGTTTACGGATTTGACTCGTTTACTCGTCTAAAAATTTAAAAATTTTTAATTTATTATTTATTTATCTTGTTTTACAATTCTCAATCCCACTTAGACCTCTAATAATTGACTAATTTTCCCTAATTAACTAATTGATTCTCTTAACTCATCATCTTCTAAAAGTAAAAATAATCCCACTCCACTCATGACTCACCTCCCAACCTTTTTAATTCTTGCTTGCCCTAAGATTCTCTGAGACTCTAACTCTTCAAAGTTCTAACTCTTCTCATATTTTCAACCGCCATAATTTATATATATAGCCGTCGACTCCACCTTTTCTCTTTAGTTTTAACATTATTTTATACTTAGATTTTAGTCTCACCGAGTCACTATTGCGTCAATTCAACCCTTTCTTTCTTTCTCCTTCGAGTCCGACGAGTGCTCTCTTTGTCACCAACTTTTCTCTCTAAAGTCTTCAAGGTAAGTTATTTACTTATTTATACTTTTTAGTTTTCTTTCAATTCCAAGTAAAAATTCTACTTGATCTTCTCCTTTGCTTACTTAGATGCATTTGTGTTTTTTGGTTGTCATATTACTATTGCTTTTTTTCTTTTCTTTTTTTGCTATTGAGATTTATAAGTGTATGGTGTTTTCGAATTTTATTAGTACTGTTTTTTGAAAGGAAGTGAAGAATATGATTTTGAGGAACTGTAAATATGTTTTATTAAATTAATGGAAAAAAAATTTTCTTTTATAAAATGTTGAATTTCATTTTTAAATCTTTTGAATACTTTTCTTTGAATGATAATAGGTACAAATTACAGAGAAAAAAAAAATTTAATTGACCAATTGACCAGTGACTCATAATGGGTGAGTTAGAGTTAGTCTTCATTGACTCGTGACTCATTTTAATCCAACTCATTTTGACCCATAACTTATTTTGATCCGACCCTAACCCTACCCAACCCAACTTGCCCATTTGCCAGGTCTACATCATGGCCATGCCACTTCCCGAACCTGAGGCGCGTGGCAATATGAGCGGCCAATAGACTCAATACAGATTAAAGAATCCACACCAGCTTCGAAAATGGAAAGGAGAAAAATAAATAACTTTAGGAGGCAGCGGCTCCATCACACAAACAGTACCCTTGATTCCTTGTTGACAGGCTATATATGCCTCCCATTGCCAAATTGTCCTTGGATCTTTGGTCTATTTCGAATGGCTAACCAAACTGAGAATGCATGTCGGGCTTTAACTCCAGGGGAGCAAACAAGCCTAAGTCGCACAAATCTTTCACCATCTACTAATCTATTAATTAAAAGCAGAGACGGATGCTTAAAATTTCGAATTATGTTAAAAATGTTAAAGGGTAATTTAGTAACTTCATCATACACATTCCTGTAACTAAAGTTATTAATTAGGTGTCCCCCGCTCCCCCACCAAAAAGAGTGCTATTAATTAATTAGTAACTTCTATTAATTTATGTGTAACACTCGAAACCTTCGTTTAAAAATAAATGAACCAATTTATTTGTGATGTTTCATTTTTTTCTTTTTTATATATTTACATACCATGTAATGGTAATTAATTTCTACTTTCTCCAAGTAATTGTATTAGTGATAAAATGTTATCTTGTAATCCTTCACCTAATGGATGGTTAATCCTTATAACTTTTATTTAGTGGTTGTTTAGTGGATGATATCAGAGGTTTTTTTTTTATTTAATAATTTATATTTTTTAGGTAAACGACTTAAATAACTCAATAACTTAATAATAATTTTTTTCATTGAAAATAAAAGATTATAAATTCGAATTACATGATGACGTGGGTGAAATGAAATAAATAAATGGAAGAGATTTGCCTCTTATCAACATAAAAAAAAGATTGTATGATATAATTTTAATTGCAAAATAAAAACCTTTATTTACTTACTGTTTTTTTTTTTTTGAAAAGAAAATTTCTGGCGAATGGAGGACATGTAGTATTACTGGCCGAGCATCGCTGCTCAGTGGTCAGTGCCATGTCTCATTTTTTCGTGTTGGTATAAAAATTTTATTAGGAGTATGGGAAGTGCTACAAACTATTTTACAATCATAAGCGAACATATTCAAAAAGACTAGCTACCTGGTCGTAATTCACATGTACATGGTATAGTTCACATGTTCAATGGTACTGTTACTGTGCTTAAGCTAACTGCGAAGCAAAGAAAAACCAGCAGCAGGCGCTGCAAATGGTGCTCTCTTCACGAACCTTCCTTTCATCCTAGGCCTCTTCTCTGCATTCAATTTCCGAACCTCGTACCTTATTTTCTTCGAGAATAACCTTGTTCGCCGTTTTTCTCTATACCTAGACACTCTTGCTTCCCTTCCGCCGTCCCCCATTGCCGCAGCATGTGGTCCAATCCCCATCAGCTCGCCATAACCATGGTTAACTTCTGTTCCTTTTCCACCCTGCACAAAATTTATAATTCATGTGTCTTGTTATTAACTTATTATCAATAAAAAAATTAAGTTTCTTTATTTAGTAAGATTTCTCTGATTTTAATCAACTCATCTGGATATAGTTGTCGCACTTCATAATAAGAACTGTTTAGCTACCTATATACGACTCAATGAAAATAACATACCAAGCAATCGGGCCAGCATTCATCAGGATCAAATTCAGGCCGATCTCCAGTGGTCCACGGTGATCCTTGACTTGCCCAGGCGGTTATTACAGCCTCATAATCCAGCCTCAATAGTATCTCCGTTTTCTTTTTCGAACTATTCCCTTCAGTTCTGTCTTCCTTTACCAGCTGGTGATCATCTTCCTCTCTACAAGTAACCGGAGACTCGTAACTGAAATTCAACTCAAAAGTCTCTCTTGCTATATCGGCCTCAACATCGACGGCTTCATTACATTCATCCTCTTCAAGCTTCACTTTACCACTACTCCCTAAACTGCGCTCCTTCAATTCCTTCTCTTTGGAATCAATCATCCCCAGTTCCTCCATTCTGAACGACTCGTTGTCTAGACCCTTTCCTAGTAAACGCTCAACATCTGCAGCAAACTGAGCAATATCCATATCTGATGGAAAGAACCCATGTTTTCGATCGGAATCTTGTTCGCACCCTGCAGACATTAAAGTCTTTGCTTCCCTTCCGTCAACATCTCCTGGTTCTGAATCGTTTCCCTTTATGGTTCGAGCAGTAGCTTCATTGGGTGCAGTAGAAGTACAGAGTTCCGCTACAAACGGATCGTATATCGGCACCCTATAGAGTAGTTGTTCTTCCTCGTTCTCTTCACAGAATACCTCATCGACACTAACCTCCGGCACCAGAAGAAGCGGATTTCCCCGGTTTGGTCGTTCTTCATCTAATTTGGACTTTTCAAGAACCGAACCCTTCGAGTGCCGCGGTGTCCTGGCTTTTTTGGTGAACCCTTTATGCCATAACGGTTGAGAGTTTTCCAGACGTTCTTCAACAGTTAAGGGCCTAAACGAGGACGCTTTCAACCGAACTCTTTCATGCCTACGTGCTAAAGGGTTAGCCGAGTGAACAAAAGAATCACAGGCTTGGCATAGAAAAGCATCATCGGCGGCACAATACCAGCGTGCCCGTTTCTTTATACAGCTGTCGCAAGGCCTTGCCGTCTTGCCACCGACGGCGTTAGCCACATTTTTGTTAGAAAGCATCGGAAAATTGGACACAAACCAACAACTAATTTTTTCAAATAAGGTACAATTATTGTGAAAATGGAGCGGATTGAACGGACCTACAGAACAGTCTTTTTTTTCATTGTTAATACATAAGCACTTTTGGTCCACAACAAGGCCTTATCCAGATTTTTATTGGTTGGGCTGCTGAAGTTGATCCAAAGGGTGAGTTCTGATTAGCTGGCTTTCAATTCAGGGGATTTCTGGTGGGGTCCAGAGTTAGGAGGATGACACTAGAGTCGTTTGATTCCATCCACTTTTGAAGTTAACGGCATTGGTGGGTTGTCTTTCTCTTCATGTTGCATTATATGAGATCCATATCGGCGGTCGCTTTTTCTCCTTACCTCTCTCTTTCTCATTCGAAGTTGGGGCACCCTGACGTTGATTTCAGGGTGTAATTTCCTGAAGGGACCAATGTAATCTTGACACCTTAGTGCGTCGATGGGTCAGGGGACTAAGGACCCATAATATATTTTCCTCTATGGTCCCGTTTATTTCAGGGGCAGTGACATAGAAAGAATATTTGTATAAATTTTTTGTACAATTTTTATATATTATTAAATAAATATATATTAAATAATATAAATTTTAAATAAATAAATAGAATTAATTATTTAAATAACATGATTAATTATATGAAAAAATTAAAAAAAAAATTATCCTTAAAGTATTTTTCTTATTTCAGTAGCTTACTACTCAAATACTAAGTTTTTTTTTTTTTTAGGTACATTATTTAATGAGTTATACAACAAAAAAAAAAACCTTATCCTTCCTTTAATCTTTTTCCATACAACTCTTAGCCACTTAAAAGACACCTTGGGTCCCGCTTGAGCACTAGCATGGACACCTGGCTAGCTTGGGAATGAATTAAGCCCCAAACCATCGTTTTCCCACCATAGTTGTATAAATAGACGCGTAAAAATCAGGGGAAAAAATCTAACCCAGAGGAGACAGCACTGAGGATTTCATATGTATGTGGAGTGATGGCTGCTAAGTTGAAAGAATTAGGAAAAAAAATCCATTGTAGTTAGTCTCATGTTGAAGGAAGAATTGGTTTCTAATTTTCTAAAACAAGTTATAAGACAACAAATTGTGACTCACCAGCCATTTCTTAGCTCTACCATCCCATTTTCCCCCACTATTAGGATAGACAACTATTGCCTTGTGAGTCAGCCGTAGTTGATGCATGATTTTAGTCATAATTCATATGACAGTAAAAACTAGAGCGAACATTGTATAAGAGAAAAGGTATACTGCCTTCATTTGATTAAATCATCTATTTTTAGTGTTTTACGTCTTAAATTTGGGGACGAGGCTTTCAACAAAATGAGGCGAACAATTTATACCAACTGAATTTACTTTGTTGCTCTTGTTTAATATCTTAAAGCATTCATTAAAACTCTCTCCTGATGGTGCATTCTCACCATCTACAGAACTGAAGCAGATCCAAGATGGATTTTTGGAAGTTTTCTTCCTCAAGCAACTCAGCACAGACCCGTAACAAAGAACAGAAGAAAGCAGAACAAAAATAAGAAAGTAACGAAAGAAAATCTTGCGATTAACTGAATTAGATGCAATACAGAAGGAGACAAAACTAGAATTTTCGAAGTGCAGAGAACTATGGGATCTCATTCTCTTGAACAAAGAAAAAAAAGTTGCATCAACTCAAATTCTCAAAAAAAAAAAAAAAATTTTGTGAACAAAGAAGAAACCTGATAAGATGAAGCAAAGCAACCAAGATATCTGCATCAGCTTCAAGGTATTCCAAAATCCATAGAAACATTAACATCAAGAATTCGGCATAATGCGCCACAGAGACTGAGACGGAGGACAGGTACCAGCTGGATAAGATCAGGGTCCTTTATCAAGCAGAGAGCACTCCAGAATGGGTCGTTAATAGTGCTCGAGCTGCGCCGCCAAACCTCCGTCGATCACATCACAACCACCGGTTTTTCTCTATCAAATCTTCCAAAAATGTCGCTCCCTTCAATCCCATCTCTGTTTTTCCTCTCTCACCCCCGTTTGTCAACCCACTGTCGAGCCGCTGATCTCTCGTCCCCGAAGCCAGAAATGTGGGCATTATGAATATAAAAATGTTTGCTTTTTTGGAAATGTGAAAACCTTTGGAGGGAAGAAATCCCTAACCCACGGTGAACAAACCTAGATATAACGTCAAGACAAAAAAATCTGTTTGCGACAGGCAAGGCCCAAAATGGTAACTACCTATTCGAGATTACCTGATTATCTTTGGGCCTTGCTTGCATAACCCAATTCAATAATTATTACGTATGGCCCAAAAGAATCTGGTTGATTAAAGGCAAAGCCCAAAGAAGTATCAATGGAGACGGAACATTTTTTCTTTTTCAAAAGAAAAGACCAGAGGTTTTTCTGACTCCTTTTGACCTGAGAGATTGAAGGAAGGAGGGTTTAAGGCTACGTTCGTTGAGGACTGAAAGTACTTGACATTTGAGGGCTGAATCAAAGAGAAAGATGAAATCAGTGGTGGGTGTGGTTGTCTCTAACAAGATGCAGAAGTCAGTGGTGGTGGCTGTTGACAGGCTCTTCCACCACAAGCTTTACAACCGCTACGTCAAGCGCACCTCCAAATTCATGGCCCACGATGAGAACAACACCTGCAACATCGGTGATCGGGTGTGCCTTCTTCTTCTTCTTCTTCTTCTTCTTCTTCTTCTTCTCTCATATTATTGTGTCTCATTTCGATTTGGGGTATGACTTTTTAATGCTCACTATCACCAGGATGCCTGTAACTATTCTGGGTTTCAACATTGAGTGTAATGTTTGAAGATGAATCTCTAATTTTGTTAATTCATTATTAACGCAGTTATATGAAGTATTCGCTCATGTTTCAGGTCAGATTGGATCCTTCTAGGCCATTGAGCAAGCATAAGCATTGGACTGTTGCTGAAATTCTCAAGAAAGCACGAATTTATGTGCCTCCATCAGCAGCAGATGTTGCAGCCAATGCAAATATTAAAAGTGAAATTCCGCCCTCTTCAACCTCTTAAGGTTTGGCTACGGTCCAATCTACACATGCTTGCTTATGTATGTGTATGAATTTCATAATGTTTTGATATTTGAGTTTGTTGAGTTGAAGTTAAGGTCAGATTATAATCTTTGAATCTGTGACAGATGTAGCTTAACCATCTGACAATTCGTTGCAAAGAGTGAATTGGGTGTTTTCTTTGTCCTGAACCTGTGTTCTTATTTGTTAACTTTATCAAATGCCTCTAATGCTATGAAGATTTTATGGCTTACTCAATGTAGTGCTGCACCAATCATCATGACATTTAAAATAATACATGGATTAACATTTGGAATTTTTTCAACTGATTTGCTGGGGCCTTATCTGCAAAAGCATCATAGATGATACTCTGCTGGTTTTTCAGGAAAATTTGGTAGATCTTTCAAGTCTGTTACTATCCACTCTTGTCTTTGACATGATGTGCTGAAACTGTCCTTAAAATAGAGCAAGTGAAGTTTTTACCAGCAATGAACCAAAGATTCTCTACAAAATAGTTTTTCATTAAATTATGTAGTTGTCATTTCAACAAATGTTGGTCTTCCAGCCTTCAACAACTGTCTGTTCTAGAGCCAAGCTAATTGGTGTTTCCTAAGTCTCAAGTTTAATATATGTCTGTGATCGCCAATTTTGCTGCAGGCTTGCCACGGCACTTTCTCAATAAGTTTGGTTTAGAGTGTACCAGGGACCTATATGGATTCCAGTCATATGAGGGAGATCCTTTTATTTCCCAATTTGCTAGGTGCTCAGTTGACCGTCAGTCTGTTTAAATTGAATTTCATGTATAAGGGTAACTGAAAGATTAAAGTCATAATGCATTTTGTTTAGTTCTGTCAAGTTGAAGTTCTTTAAGAAAGTTCAGAATTGTGTCATTTTATTATTACCTGAAACAAACTTTCAAGCATAGGCTGCATTTTTGTCAACACTCTTGAAAAAGAACTTATTAGGAGCACATTACACTAGGCACATTTTGTGAATTCTGGTAATATAACAAATGAAACCTGTATCTTTGACAGCACTCTATTGAGAGCTCCCAGCTTCACCATGTTAAATTGACGTCATTTTTGCTCTTTCTTTATGACAGGGGAAGCTTTGTTAGGGATATAGGGAAAGCTAAAGCCACTTGGATATTGAAAAACAGTTTACAGGATCGTGCATAAGGTAATTGTCATGGTGAGAGGATCAAAACTTAAGGCTGTGGTTCATGTCACTTGACGTGTGAACCTTGTGCAAATGAAGCAGTTTATGCACTTTGTATTTTGTTCTCACCGAAACAATCTTTTTCTGATTTCTTTCAATTTTTTGCTAGAATTATTGTAGTTTCTTTTAGTGCTTTTGTTTTAATGAATCAGATTTATCTCTTATGATTGTGAATTTGAGAGAGCAGTGGTCGTTAGACCATGTTGTGGTGGTTGAACTTTTGCAAAATTTTCTATCCTTAAAGGACAGTTGTAACTACAAATTACATTTCTTTTGTAAAGTTCATTTATTTCAAAGCTCAAATACACCTTAATCTAAATTTGAACCATGCCAGAACATGAGAATCGTGGGAAGTATCTATATCTGACACCATTTATGGAATGCATCGATTTATGAGGAACAGTGAAGATCGTACGGCAAAGTAATTCAATGCAACACCTCAGGCCACCAAATTTTCCTTCTTTTCTTGGCCGTGGTTTTATTTTCTTTTTGGAAGGTGCATCATTAGTCCCTGAATTGGTGATTTCCCTTTGCATATAGTATTTAACCATGTCTCGTGCAATCTTGGGATTGCTTTTTGTGAGAGCTGACAGGTATACCTATAATTTTTTTTTTCTTTTCCTTTTGTACGTCTCATGTGACAATACAGCGGGAACAATTTTTATTTTTTTTTGTTGCACAATATAGGGCAATCATCTTTCATCCCTTATTTTATCCCATTCATATGCTATGTAACTCAAAATTAAAATCTCTTACTTCCAATAAAAATAAATGACAACTGAATTATTTAGATCATTGATACGAGAACAATCATCTTTGAAAAAAAAAAGAAAAAAGATATATTTAGAATGTTCATATGTAACTGCAATTATTAGTTTTTTTAGTATTTTAATATCTTAAAAATATATAATATGTTTAGTATTTATTTCTATTAATATTTATACAATTTTAAAATAATAAAAAAATAAAAAAATAAAAAACTAGAAAACCAACAAATAGTATCAAACAAGACCTTAAACATGTCTTACCTGACTGACATGGTATTTCCTAGAGTTTTCCTGTTAAGTCCCTTTTTAAAGTACAAAACGGTACACATTGTCGGCCCCACACCCATGAACCAAAATTCAGAGGAACTGCAATGGGCAACTTCTGGCCAGCAAATCTTCCCTTGTGGAAGCCAGGTCCATCTGGCTCCTCTGTCTGCCTGAGTAAATAAACTTCATTTTTATTCTGTTTAGGTGATCGTTTAACAGCAAAGTCGATGGCCCATTATGATGGTTCTTTCTGAATTCTGATGCACATAATCTGGATCTGGCTCAATCTTTAATATTCTCCAGCTTTAATTCTCATACATGAAGGTTGGGGGAAATTTCTAAAAGACTCATGCATTGAGCATCACCCTACTTCTGACCTGTCCATCATATTTAGTATAAACCCACAAAAATAGGGGCAAAAACATTTGTTTTCTTATGCTCCATTTAGGTTTGATTTGGTTTTAGGTTTTTATTTTTTATATATTTAGTAACCGATAATATAGTCTAGTTAAGGGTTTTCTAATATGTGTCCTTATGTCACATGTTAAAAATGAAATTAATATATATTTTTTGACAATTAATTTATATTAAAAAATTAAAAGTTGATATTTAATTTATAAACTATCTAATTAAAATTATTCATGTGACATTAGTAGTATAATTAATTTCAATTCTTTTATTTTTCTATGTAAATTAAAGACTAAAAGTATATTAATTATATCCTTAAGGTATAAGTTAGAAAATTCTTTAAATTAAATTTAATAAATTCAAATTTTTATAATAAATTTTTATTTTTAAATATAATAATAGGTTTCTAAATATATAAAAAAAATTCAAAACTCAAAATCAAAACAATACTAAACGGAGCATTAGTTCTTACTACTAACACAAACTCGTTTTTGACAAGCATGATCGTAAAGATAAAAGGATCTGGTTCATGCAAAGAGAGTTCATCTGAGACAAACATTGGTAATTTATTTCAAATTGAAGCATTAAGTTTGATCAAACACGACACCTCGGGGTCAGAATTTAGAGCTTACGGTTGGATATATCAATCTTTCAACAACCAACTGCATGCTGATCTCTAAATCTATAAAGGCTTTAATGTACAAATATAAATATGCATCTTCTTTCTAAATTGTAATCCCATCACAATGTCTTATCCTTTTCAGCATAACCCACAACCAAATTCTAGATTGAAAATTTCAACTGGAAACTTTAATTTTTTTCTTGAAAAGAAATGAAGCAAAACAACTATCAAACTTTGTGCAATTATTTGTTAGCTAGATGTTTACTTTCTAACTAAGATAGGGTCTCTTTATTAAACAGCATCCTTCTGTTTTGTTATGGTGGCAAAATGGATAGGCTTCCTTTCAAAAATCATCTCCTAGTGGCTCATATTTAGTTTCGGGGTCTACCATTTTGCAAGATAATTAAGCAAGATGGTCCCAAGTTTTTGACCTTGTTATATCCTACCGAACCCTTGGCTGAGTTGCTATCATTAATCATTAATTAGTTGTAATTCTTAATTTGAATAAAGAGTAGGGTTCTGATTTCTAAAAGAACTAACCGGTAGTTAACTTCTGAATTTTTATAAAAAAAAAAAAAAAAAGATCATTAATTGAAGACAAGTGAGGAGAAACTTTAGGACAAGAAAAAAGTATGGTCTAACTGCATTAAAGAGCAGTCATCCATTCGGACAGGAAAAAAAGTATGGTCACAACGTGAAAGAAAGACCTGTAAAAAATTTGGCATTAACGTGGGATCACGCATAAATACATTAGCGTCCTCGTATATTCAGGTACAAAGTCACAGATACATTTGAATACAACCAACGTTGGTTGTGTTCATTGCCGTCCCAGTTTAAGTCTACTGGAGTCATAGCCTCAGAAGGACCAATAATTCTCCCATTTCCTCTCTCCTTTTCTTTCTTTTCTTTTTCCCCTTTTTTTGGGTTACAAATTTGACTTTCTTCTTTTGATTCTTTTTTAAATATTTGAGATAAAAGGCAATTGACTTCTTCTTTTGATGGTTCTTAACTGCAACTAATAATTAGGGATGGGCATGCCTCCATCCATATCCACGGTCCTTAATTCCTACGACTATTAAATTAGTTATGAGTTTAAACATAAATTAAAAGTATAATAAATATATTTTTTATTATAATTTATTTTTTAAAAAAATAAAAATTAATTTTTAATTTTTTAATTATCTAATTAAATTTATTTATTTGATATTAATACTAAAGTTAATGTCACCTTTTACATTTTTTATATAGATTTACAATAAAAGAAATCCTTAATTTGTACTTTTAAAATACAAATTAAAAAAATTTATTAGTTATAGTGGTCTTAACCTCTTTGTCTCACGGTTTATCCAATTTATTTACCTAATTTATTCAATGAATATACTCTAATCTTATTATATATATTTTTAGCATATCTATATAACAAATGTTGGCGCTTCCGTATCACCCTTACAGCAATTTGCATATAGTGCATCAATTGATCAATTGTTAATTGCTAACAAAATTATGGTGGCTAACTTTGGCTAACCTAGCTACTGCACAGAGCAATGTACATTTATTTCCCTCTAGACTCCAGAGAAGTAACACCTAACCTTTTTTCCCATTTATGAGGTTAGTGATCTCTTCGGGCTCTTACACATTGAAAATCACCATGATAGCTTAGCTTTCATGTTTAGCCTCGCTTAATTTAAGACTATAGTTGGCCTCTATAGTTTATACACCTCAACACCTTTCCATTACACTACTCACACTCTTATCTTACGTCCTTCTTCTACTATATATTTGTTTTTTATCTTGGCCAAAAGACCGAGAAGGATACACTATATTTTTGTTCTAAATTGACTGTCATTTAAATTATGTAGTCTCAAATTTTCATTGAACAGACCATTGAGGGCGATCAACTGCATGAAATTAAGAGCCGTTTGGATTGGTTTACAACAACCTCCCACGTAGGGCAATCGGCATTAATACGAAGGCCTTATAGCGACATAACCAAATCAGAACTAGACAAAAAAAAAAAAGCTGAAGAACTCTACTAATAAAACAAGAAAATATATAATAATATCATATGATATTATAAATTTAAATAATTTGATAATATTATAATTATAATCTCACATAACATTAAATGAAATATAATATAGTATTAAATAAGTAGATATATATAACATCATGAGTGAATTTTTAAATTAAAAAAATTAATTATATAATAACACAATATATTATAATTTATAATGCCACGTAGTATTATAATAATAGCATTTTCATAAATAATTCATTCACATGAATCATGAATATGATATATAGTGATATTTTTTATATACAATTATAGTTAGAAGTCTCTATTAATTATTGAAGGTGCCAAACCATAATAGAGCCTGGAGTTTACGTGTTATTGCTTTCGTAAGTTACTCACCATTGCATAACTCAATACATAATGGAAGCTTCCTTCAAGGCAAGTTTATTTTCAAAGGCTAATGAAATTAACCCTCTTGTTTACAAACCTGATCAACATTGATTTCTAAATTCTAATGCGTTTTCCTCACATGGGTTACATTAATGCATAAAGGGCATATTAAGTTTACAGATTCATAATTTAAAAAGAAAATTAATAATAATAACAATAATTTTTTTTTATCAACAATAATAATAAAGAGACACAGACATACTTGAGGATTGACAAATTAAAGAGAGACTGTACTTGAGAGTCAGACGAATACTAATTGCAGATCCAGAATTGGTGTTTTTACCAAGTACTACGTATGAACTGAATCCAATAACCCAAACTCCCAAATCAGACCTTTGGTTTTGATGCCTTTAGAGCTTCACAATTTCAGGGATATGAACTGGGTATCTATGAATGCAGTCTTCCCAAGGTCCATCAACTGGTGTCTTGATGGTTCTGTTACACTTCCACACTGCGCTATTGCACTTAAACCCACTTCCAAATCCAATCTGCCACACCCTGTCTCCCTTCTTCATTCTCCCTTTTGCCTCAATGTAGTTCAGCTCATACCACAGGGACGAAGAAGAAGTGTTTCCAAACCTGTGCAGGGCCATCCTGGATGCTTCAACATGTTCTGCCGATAGCTGGAGGTTCTTCTGGAGCTCGTCGATGACTGCTCTGCCTCCAGCGTGGATACAGAAGTGCTCGAATGCCTGTTTGAAGTCGGGAATGTAAGGTTTCCATTTCAAGTTGAAGATTTTGCGGCCAATGAGGGTCATGAGAAAGAGGAGCTGTTCCGATGCTGGAAGAACCAGAGGACCAATGGTGGTGATGTTAGATTTCAGAGCCTCCCCTGCTATAGCCATGAGATCTTTGGATAAAGAAATTCCCACATTCCCTTCTTTGTCCTCTTCTTCAAACACGCAACGATACGCCTTGTCGTCCGCACCTTTGTTGGTTCGAACCACGTGGACAAGTCGATACTTGGCTCGAACCCGCACGGATCGGCGGTTGGATAGGAGGATTGCCGCGCAGCCCATACGGAAGAGGCAGTTGGGAAGAAGCATGGCTCTTTCATTACCCTTGTAGTAATTGGGTGTGATGATCTCAGTGCTGACCACAACCGCATTAGAGTTTGGATGAACCTGGAGAAGATCACGAGCTAAATCGATTGAAATAAGCCCTGCACTGCATCCCATCCCTGAGAGATTAAAGCTTTTTATGTTACTCCTCAGCTTGTACTTGTTAATCACCATGGCTGACAACGACGGTGTCGGAGAAAACAGACTGCAATTCACAATCAAGATATCGATGTCCTTAGGCTTCAGCCCTGTTTTCTTAAACAGAGCATCCATAGCAGAGAAAATAACAGTCTCTGCCTCTGCCCTGCCGTCCTCCATGGTAGGCGTTGGAGGGATATAATGAATAGCAGGAGGCAAACAGGTCTCCTCTCCAAGGCCGGACCTCTCAAGAATCCTCATTTGAAACTCGACGGCTTTGGGGTTATTCTTCAAGATGAGCCTAGAATGCTCCATGAAAGTTGAGTATGGAACCCGGCATGTAATTGGAGGTTTGTAGCAGGCGTAGTCAACAAGGTAGATGCTCCTTGGCTTGGACATGAAGTAAACGGTAGTAATGAAGATGATGAGAAAAGAGGAACATAGGATTTGAACAAGATCAAAATGGAGGGATTTCCATAGATTAATGAGTTCTTCGGGACCTAAACGAAGAACTTCTAGGACAATACCAGCCATAACAGGGATCAACAAAAGAGTAAGAATGTGATTCACTAGGTATTGATACCCGAGCTTAACATACTTGAGCTTTACGGAATTGGAGAAATCCGGAAGGATTGGAGGCATCTTTGCTTGAGATCAGTGGAAAAGAAGAGAAATGAGAGGAAATCGTTTTACTTTGTTGCGAGGAAGATGGAAGAAAGTTGCAGATATTGTGTGGAAAAATAGAAGGGGAATTTAAAGACAACGGGACCAAAGCAATGAAGGAGGCAGATGAGAGGATTAAATGGACTCGTGTCATCACTCACTCAACGCTCACTTAACTTGAAATCAATTTTCATAATAACTCACTCTATTTTCCATTTTGTAATCCAATTCCACCTAAACAAGGATTAGGACTTGGGAATTCTTTGGTATATCCGCCATGATTTAACGCCTTGTTCTTTTTATCAAATAAGAAAAAATCTATAATCACTTGTTAAGCGAATTTTTGTTTTCCATTCTTTTTATGAGCTTGAGACGAGTGCTCGCTAGCATAAGAAAATTATTAGTACATTTTCAGTTTGATACATTTTTTTAGGATGCTGATACGGACACCCAATTTTCACACCCTCCAGTTACACCCAACTCTTTCCGTTATTGTTTCCGTTAATTACATTAACTCCATTACTGAGAGGGAAGGATCTTTTGGTTGTGGGAAAGAGGATTTATGGCTGCTGGTGGGGGATGATGAAATTTGGGCCTAAAATCAAAGATTTCTGGTGAGGGATAAATGTTTAATCGGCATGGCAGGTCTGATTACACTTCAAAATTTGTTTAATTTCTTCTTGAAGGTTCTTGTTTTTGAAGATGGAAACCAGATTTGTGGGTGCCGCCTTTGTGGTTGCGGCTCTGTCTTGAGCCGTTGGCGACGTGGATCTGGTGCGGATTGGTTGCTTTTTGCTACCGATTATGGTCGCTGGATGTTTCTCGCTACCGCTCATAATTGCTGGCTGGATTTCGTTGCCGCTGGCTTGATCTCGTTGCAATGTCAAAGTTGATCTCATTGCAACAAGTAAAAGAAGATAAAATAAAAAAAGGGAAGTTGGAAGCGTGGGTCTGCAGAACGAATGGCCATGATAAAAATTTCATTACAGCAACAATAAAAAATTTCAAGTTGTTGAATTTCTCCAACATCTCAAGTTCCATTTGTTTTCTCTCTCCCAAAAAACTCCCAAAAATTCTAACATTTCAAACCCAACTCTATATCTGAAAGAGAGAGAACATCAATCGAAACAGTAAGAGGGAGAAAGGAAAGGAGAGAGAAAAGGAAAAAACTGTACTTGGGACCGAACGGGTTCTCTGGAGAACCCAAACCTAGGTTCTCCAGAGAACAGGATGATGGAGAAGAGAGAGGAAAAAAAAAGAGAAAAAGAAAGAAAGAGGAAGAAGTAATGGTAACGGAGTTAATGTAATTAATGGAAATAATAACGGAAAGAGTTGGGTGTAACTAAAAGGTGTGGATACATTAGGTAAACATATCATTATCCATTTTTTTATACTCATTTTATTATTACAATATAATATAAATATAATTAATTTAATTATTTTTTACATATTATATATAATTATATTTTTAAGTTTATTTATTTTTAATTTTAAATCAATAAATAATAATTTTTAATTTATATTTTTTATTAATATATTATATAATATATTGAATTAATTAATATACTAATCAATATTCAGTAGCAAGTGCTCTCTTTAATACCATCTTTTAGACACTTTCATACACTCTCATGTTTTATATTTGTAATGTCAGTTAATCCATCAATTTATCCACTTCATGTAGATTTGGTGCAAACAAAATCATTATGTCTGAGGTATGGTTTCATTTTTGTGTGCGGCTGAGATCAAGAGCCTGAAATGAGTTCGGCTAATTGGGGATGAGTTTTTTTTTTAACTTAGCTTCTTGTAACTTCAAATTAAAATTAAAATTTTTAAGTATAGCGTATCAATTCAATCAACCTCTTGTTGGTTGTTTGGGAGGTTTTTTGTCTTGTTGTCGAGTTCTTGGATGTAAGCCTAGAATTACAACTTGCACTCCTTAAATAGTTATTTATTTGCCGATGAAAAAAAATATGTAGAAGTGTTAGTTATGTATAAAAATTAGGAATTATTTTATTTTAAAAATAATTAAAAATATACTATATAAAAAATTAAAATGAATAAAAAAAATAAAATTGTACGTGTTTTGACTCTCCGCTTTTGAAAGTCTCAATCTCCACAAATTTTGAAGATTTATTAATGTTGAGAAGATAAGATAGGAGAATAGTCAGAAGGGAAGATAGGAGAAGAGTCAAAACATGCGTGTGCTGGCTAGTGTATGTTTTAAGAGACTTTTCTATTTGCAACTATATGATTGTGACTCTTGTTTTAATTAAGTAGAGACTTTCACTCTATATATGTAATGGCCCGAATTCCACATTGGTAAAGAATTGAGAGTGAATTTAATATGTAATTGCGAAGATCAATTATTAATAACAATTTAAACTTAAGTTTTTGAAAATCCAATGATAAATTTAAGTTCAAAGTCATATCAATTAATATCAAAGTTTACATTTTTGTAAATAAATTTTGTTGACTTTCTTTACACCTCAAGTTCCATATTAACCGATTTGAGTTTAAATTTTTGAAAACTTATAAATTTTGATCTGAAAAGTTGTTAAATTAATATGAAGTTTCAAACACGTGAGCCAAGTTGACTATATTTGCATGTTGCTAAAGCATATATAAAAAATAGAAACAGGGTAGTTGAGGCATCATGGGTTACATAGGAGAAGGGACTGGGGGGGAAATGTTCAACTCAAAGATGAAAATACATATTACACATCACGTAAGGAAATTTTCCAAAGTTTTTGAGTTGAACATACTTTCCCAATACTAAAAGATTATATTATTAATAAAAATATCCACTTTTTTAATAAAACCAATTACATTTTATCAATTTTTGTACTTATAAACCTTTATTTCTTGACTCAAATTAACTAGAAAAATGTGATAGCTTCTCTGAAAATGCCTACCAGGAATGAGGTGTCCATATCAAGGCAATATGTTTCTATATGTAATGAATATACTCATCTATTTTCTTGGCTCGTAGGCAATATGCTCTTCCAAACAGGACACCTATCTTTGAAGAAAGGATGGTCTAGAAGACGAAAATAAGTCCCATTATTTGTTCCGATCATTTAAAATGAAGTGAAATAAGTAGACAATGAAGTTTAACTTGTCTTGTAGGTAAGGTTTATAATTCAAATCTTGAGGCTCTAGTACCAAAGAAATTAATTATTTTAAATACATTAAATTGATGAAGAAAATATTTTTAAGTTCGTTTAATGAGAAATTAGTTTTAAAATACTTTAAATGTAATACGATATTGATGTTGAAAATAAAATTAATGTTTTTATTTTTACATATAAATTAATAGAGAAAATATACAATAAATGCATTTAGAAAAACCCTTTTCGTTTCTTTAAAGATTCAATTTTCCAAGTAAATTGGATTTTGACCTTGCAAATTTCGATTGGTCACTCCCTAGCTGCAAATTAATGATTTTAATTTCAAGAGTACAACCTGCCCCAACTAGAAACAGAACTCAAAAGCTCATCTCATTCCAACAATTAATTACCCTTCTCCCTTTGGCTGCCAACGTTAAATAAATTCAATGCTATGTCAATCTATAGACTCTATACATTTGTTGATGCCCATCTCCTTCTACCCATCTATGGTGATTAATTGAAAAATGGTTTCTTACCTAACTCTAAGATTGCCTCTCGTTTTAAATTCGAAGTGAATCCATGCTGGCTAAAGGTTAATTTCTCGAGATTTTCATCCTTGTCAAACCCAAATTACTAACGTCGTGGATCGACCCAAACCAAACAGCAGAAAAGGGAGTGAAGTAGAGTTATTTTTCACTAATTGTAACTTTACGGCGTTAATTGCTGTTGGGAGAAAGCCTTTTCTCAACTGGTATTCAGGATGAAAAGGGTAGGAATATATAGGATAGTTAACTTGACATGAAGATTTGCACATTTTTCCCGCGGTTAATGTTGAGCGCTTGGCTATTTTTGTGTAAAAGTTCAATGAGATGGGATTGCTTGTGAAACTCATCCTCACATTGATGATTTTTTTTTAATATATAATTATAATTTATTAAAAGAGATACAAGCGATACTCTAATACATTTAAAGCACATGCCTCAAAATAAAATAAATAAACTCATACAAGTAAAATTACATTAAAGACTTAATTAGTAACCATTTTTGTGAACTGAAAACACTATGTAGGAGAAATGCCAAGTATATTACTCTCCTTTAATGAATTCAAAACCTTGATGATCCTAGATTACATTATATATGATAATAAACTACATATTAAAGAATAACTTTTTCCAAATCACTCTCAAATATTGGAATTTGTTATTTTCACTTTTAGTCTTAAATTCCACCTTAGGTCCATTAGCCCATTACATTTGGTTTGTTATTGCAAACGTATAGGCCTCGCCTAGCAAAAATTGAAAGTCGAGTAATGGGCTCAGTTAAATTTCGAACCATAAAGACTTTTAATAAATAGGTTAGAATGAACGATTTAGGCCCAACCCACAATTTCCAGGGACCTGTGAGTAAATTAACCTGATTGGGCTTTGTTAAAGTACAAAGCTGATACCAAAAACCCAAGGAGAGGAACCCATCCGTATTCGTAAGAGAGAGGGAGGCCCAACCTCAAACGATTTATTTTCAAAGGCTAAGAACTGGATGACCTGCTCGAGCTTAGATTATAATATATATATATATATATAAGAGATTTCTGTTTTACAAGGTAGACTGTATACAGTTAATCTTATAAAATTATTTAAATGTTTTTAAATTTATTTTTATATTATTTTTTTAAGAGCATTTAGTTAATTTTACAAGATGAACTGCATACGGTCCATCTTGTAAAACAATTTTCA